GCTGTCCCCAAAGCCCGGACTTCCGCCCACCTGCTGCCCCCACCCCTCCACTCAGCCTGCTTTAGGGAAGGGGTCCACCCTTGTTCCAGCCCCCAGGGAGCGTGTCTTGTCTCCCAGGGCCTCTGGAGAAGGAAGTTAACCCTTAACGAAGTCCTGACTGCTGTGCTCTGTGTACTTGTGTGTAATGCTCCCATCAGCCCTGGAGGGAAGGTTAATTTTTACAGAGGACCAATCTGAGGCTCAGAGAGGTTAAGTCGTTTGCCTGAGGCCACACAGCATGAGCAGCAGGCCTGGGATTTGAATCCAGCAGGTCTGTGTGACTCCTCAGTGTCTGAAGTCTCTGTCTAATCAAGAGGCTTTTCCATTTTGCTGGATTGGTGACGTCTGATGACATTGGGACTGGGCCTCAGATTCCCAACCTGGCAGTTTTCTGGTAGGAGCCTTGGACTTGTCTTGGTGCACAGGCCTAAGGGGCTGTGTGAGTGGTGGTCCCTGGAGTTGTGCAGTGCACCGCCCAGGCAGCTGGCTGTCAGAGCCTGCCTTTGTCTCCCAGTGGCGTCTGCATTGCTTGTCTGGGCTGTCAGTAGCCCAGGGGTCCATTTGACAGTTGCTCTGAAGTCTGGACTTCGTGCCTCTCCCCTCCTGTGCCCCTGAATGCCAGACTTGCCATTCCATTCCCACGGCCTGTTCCCAGCACACTGATGCTTTCCTACTGATCCCCTGGGTCTCTGGAAATAAAGGGTCACGCCTGCTTCAGGGCCCACCTCCTGAGGCTGAGGGTCAGCTTGGTCAGGTGGAAGAGAGCGTAGGGCTGAGATTCAAGAGACCTGGGTTCAAGTTCAGCCTGTACCCTGACAACAGTGTCACCTCCTCTTTCTGAGCCTCAGTTTTCCTTCTCTGTCAATTGGGGGCAGTACGAATTACCCTTGCTGCTCCATGCGGAGATTGTGAAGATGCAGAGCCTGTGACCGGGAAGAGCTGTGTGCCAGGAGGCCTGCACTGGTCTGCAGGTTGAGGTGACATGTACATTCCCAAATCAGGATTGGCAAATGTGTGGCTCACAGGCCACCACTGCCCATTTCAGTGCCTGTGGCTGAACCAGGACACAGCCCCCCGCCCCAATCCTTTCTTTTTTTTTTTTTTTGAATTGCAGAAAAATTCATATTACCCACAATAAACCATTTTAAAGTCTACAGTTCAGTGGCATTTAGTCGATTCACCTTATTCATCACACCATAAATACCCACCATATCCATTAAGTAATCACCCCTCATTCTTCCCTCCCCCAGCCCCTGGTAACCTCTAGTCTGCTTTCTGTCTCTGTTTTGCCTATTCTGGGTATGATACATAAAAGAAATCATAATACTGACCTTTCGTGTCTGGGCTTCTTTCACTTCTCTCTTCACCTGTTTTAAGGTTCATCCAGTTGCAGCATATATCAGAACTCTGCCCCTTTTTATGGCTGAATAACATTCCATTGTATGGATGTGCCATAGCTTACTTCTCCATTCATCCATTCATGGACATTTGGGTCAGAATCCTTGTTAACACAAGTGTCATGAACCAGTGGTCTCCAAACCTTAGTTCATGCCGTCCTTCAGGAAAAATTTGTGAATCCGTCCTCCCATTAAACGTAAATTTGAAACCCACGCACCTATGGTCAGTTAATCTATGACACAGGAGGCAAGAATATACAGTGGAGAAAAGACAGTCTCTTCAATAAGTAGTGCTGGGAAAACTGGACAGCTACATGTAAAAGAATAAAATCAGAGTGTTCTCTAACACCGTATACAAAAATAAACTTCAAAATGGATTAAAGACCTAAATGTAAGACTGGAAACCATAAAACTCCTAGAGGAAAACATAGGCAGAACACTCTTTGACATAAATCATAGCAGTATTTTTTTGGAATTATCTCCTAAAGCAAAGGAAATAAAGGCAAAAATAAACAAATGGGACCTAATTAAACTTAAAACCTTTTGCACAGCAAAGGAAACATGAACAAAACAAAAACACAACCCTACTGAATGGGAGAAAATATTTGCAAATGATATGACTGATAAGAGGTTAATATCCAACATATATAAACAGCTCATACAGCTCAACATCAAAAAAACAACCTGATTAAAAAATGGACAGGAGACCTGAATAGACATTTTTCCAGAGAGGAAATGCAGATGGCCAGTAGGCACATAAAAAATGCTCACCGTTGCTAATCGTCAGGGAAATGCAAATCAAAACAAAAATGAGATATCATATCACACCTGTCAGAATGGTTATCGTCAAAAAGAACATAGGGACTTCCCTGGTGGTCCAGTGGGTAAGACTTCGCACTTCCAATGTGGGGGGCCCAGGTTTTATCCCTGCTCGGGGAACTAGATCCTGCATGCATGCTGCAACTAAGAGTCCAAATGCTGCAACTAAAGATCCCACATGCTGCAATGAAGCCCCGGTGCAGCCAAAATAAGTAAATAATAAATAAATAAATAATTTTTTATAAAGAACACAAATAACAAATGTTGATGAGGATGTGGAGGAAAGGGAACCCTCATACACTGTTGGTGGGAATGTAAACTGGTGCAGCCACTGTGGAAAACAGTATGGAGGTTTCTCAAAAAACTAAAAATAGAACTACCATATGACCCAGCAATTCCACTCCTGGACATATATCTGAAAAAAACAAAAACACCGACTTGAAAAGATACATGCACCCCAATGTTCATGTATTATTTACAGTTGCCAGGAAATGGAAGCAACCTAAGTGTCCATCAACAGATGAATGGATAAAGAAGATGTGGTAAATATTGTATATATATATAATGGAATACTACTCAGCCATAAAAAAGAAGGAAATTTTGCCATTGCAGCAACATGGGTGGACTTGGAGGGTATTATGCTAAGTGAAATAAGTCAGACAGAGAGAGATAAGTACTGTGTATCACTTATATGTGGAATCTAAAAAACACAACAAATTAGTGAATATAACAAAAAAGAAGCAGACTCACAGATATAGAGAACAAACTTGTGGTTACTAGTGGGGAGAGGGAAGGGGGAGGGGCAATATAGCGGTAGGGGATTAAGAGGTACAAACTATTATGTATAAAATAAGCTACAAGGATTTATTGTACAAGGGACTATAGCCAATATTTTATAATAACTATAAATGGCATATAACCTTTAAAAATTGTGAATCACTATATTGTATACTTGAAACTTATATAATATTGTACATCAACTATATTTCAATAAAAAATGTGGATTTGTTTTATATATATTACTGCTACACTAATATATTCCAGTACATTATAAAACCCAGGTAAAGTGTAGACATCTTAAAAAGATACAATTTAAAAAATGATGCTTCATATATTTTTTCTCACACCTGTGCTGGAGTCACTTCCCATCATAGGTGTTAGCTAAGGACGAAAATGTGTCTGGGTCATATTGAAATTCTAGTTCCTTATTATAGAAAAGTTGGAAAGCAAAGTGAAGTGGAAAATGGACAATAAACCCTCTGCAGCCTGCACCTCAAGTTCACTGTAGGCCGCATCTGAGGTTCTGTTTTCCTGTTTGTGTGTTTGTCATTTGGGTCTGGGCCTCCTTATAATCATAGTTTCCGGGCAGGCGAGAGGTAGGAGGAAAAAGCATGAACTTCAGAGTCAGGTCCCTGGGTTTGAAGCCAGCTCTGCCATGTACCAGCTGTGTGACTCTGGGCACATTAACCAATACCTATACCTTCCCTGCTTCATCTGCAAAATGCCAATGATGCTGATTGTATTCGTTAGCTGCTGCTGTGTAACAAGACACCCCAAAATGTAGTGGCTTAGAACAACAAACATTTGTTATCTCACAGTTTCTGTGGCCAGGAATCTGCTTAGCAAGGTGCCACTGCCTCTCCCATCATGGTGTCAGCCAGGGCTGCGGTCTCATCTGAAGGCTGAGGGAGGATCCATTGTCAAGCTCACTTACATGGTGCTGGCAGGACTCGTTCCCTGTGGGCCGCGGGGCTCAGTTTCCTGCTGGCTCTTGACTGGAGACCTCTCTCAGTTCCATGCTGCGTGTGTTTCTCCATAAGGCAGCTCAAAACCTGGCAGCTGCTTCAATCAGAGCAAGCAAGTGAGAGGGGTCAAGAGGGGGTGAGCATGATGGAGGCCAGGTCTTTGTAACCTCCTCGCACAAGTGACATCCCGTCACTTTTTGACATATTCTGTTTGTTTAGAAGCAAATCGCTAGGCTCAGCCCACAGTCTAGGGGAAGGAGATTGCACAAACGCGGAATACCAGGAGGTGGGGTCTTAGAGGACCACCTCTGCTGGCTGCCAGCCCAGCTGAAATAGACCTGTCTTGGAAGTTGTTGGGGGCACTTAAGGAGGTAACACATGTTACACTCGGGGTCCTGCAAGTAACTGGCTTGTTGCTCTGTAATTGACAGGGTTGTGACTGTTGTATTTTTTTCATTTATCATTCTTTCCACTTGTCAGGGCCTGGGCAACAGGGAAGAGTGGGACCAAGGACAGGGCCTGAGACCCCAGAACAGACAGTGGCTCTGCAGAGCAGAGGGGAGCACAGAATGGGGCTGGGCACGTGCCCACATCTGGAGGAATCAGCTGGGGGCTTGTTGGCTTGGCAGTTCACCACCCAGAGGGCTGAGACTTCTTCTGGGAGGCCAGGAACTGTGGTATCAGGGCCCAGGAAGACCTCTCAGCACCTGGCTGGAAGGGGAGTGGGGCCACATCTGTGGCTGGAGGGTCCTCAGTGCCTGTAGCTGAAGAAGAAAGTGAATGAGCCCGCCTGTGCTGTGTGACCCCAAGCAAATTCCCCTCCCTCTCTGGGCCTGTCCTCTGAAATGTCTGCTTAACACCGGCCCTGTGGCTGTTTGGGGTGAAGAGGGCTCACAGAGAGGCAGGCAGCAGGCCGAGGGGGTTGGCAGCCCTCCCCTCCCCTGGGGCTGGTACTGGGAGGAGTCTCACGCCTGCCCCTGCCCCTCCCCCGCCACCGCAGGTGTTCTCCATCGTGGTGTTTGGCTCCATCGTGAATGAGGGCTACCTCAACAGCCCCTCAGAGAGCGAGGAGTTTTGCATCTACAACCGCAACCCCAATGCCTGCGGCTACGGCGTGACCGTGGGCGTGCTTGCCTTCCTCACCTGCCTGCTCTACCTGGCCCTGGACGTGTACTTCCCGCAGATCAGCAGTGTCAAGGACCGTAAGAAGGCCGTCCTGTCCGACATCGGCGTCTCGGGTGAGCCCCCATCCCAGTGGGCACCCCCCAACCCCAGCGCAACAGAATCCGCAGGGGCATGTCCCGGCCGTGGTCCTCCTCAGCCTCACGCACACCTGGGAGGCGGCTGCCACCCTTCTCCCTATTTTCCAGATGGGGAAACTGAGGTGCAGGCGGGTGAAGAGAAAGACTTGGGGTCACAGGGCTGGCAGCAGGGAAGGGTGGGACCAGGGCTGGGCCTGAGACCCCAGAACAGCCCACAGCTCACGCGGGGAGGGGAGCACAACGACCAGAGGAGTCACCCCTTCTTTCAGTGGCCTCTTCTGGCCCCTTCCCTGGTGGAGCCCCGTGAGAAGTAAGCAAGGTGATGGCTGAAGGCCCTAGCACACAGGAGGTACCCCGGGAGGGTCAGGACCTGGAGCTGGGGAGCCGCCATGACCTGCCACCCTTGCCCTTCGGAAATGACCTTTGGCAGAAGTACCCTGGTCTCTGTCCCCATGAGTTCCGAGAGACTGATTGGAAGGTGCTTGGATTTGGTGTCACTGGCCTAGGGTTGTGATCTCAGGTGTCTGGCTGGGACCACCCCCCACTTCCTGACCCCAGGACTCTCAGGATGTGCCTGGCTTGCAGGCAGTGAGGCCCGGGGTCCCTTAGACTTGAAGGAACTAGAATGACATGAGTGGTTCTCAAACTTTGTTCCATGGAGCCCCAGGGTTCCCCAGCAGTGTCTCTGGGAGGGGCTGGGCTCTAGGCACCACCCCCGGCACACACGCTTTTTATCCTGAGCAGCTCTGGACTTCTATGGATAGACTGTGGGCATCCAGAGATCTTGTTGCCACAAGGCTCGCACCACTAAGCTCCCCAGACCTCGGCTCTCAAAGGGCCCCTCACTAACCTTGGGGCTTTGTGAGGCTGCAGTCACATTAGTGGTTGAGACTCAGACCTGCTGGCCCCAGCGTCCCCTCATCCTCTCCTGCCCAGTTCTCTGGGAGTCTGCGGGGTTGGGTGGACGCTCCTCCCAGAGAGCTGCAGGTCTCAGGGTGGACCATGGGTCAGTCAGGGATTCAGCCAGGAAATCTGTGTTGGCTGAGGTTAGAGAAACGCCGGCCGAGGCTGACTGACTTTTCTCTGTCTCTCCTTCCCTCTGTCTCTCCCTCCCTCTCACTGCCCGGCCCTCCCTGGATCTGCTCCGGCCTGGCTGGTTCCTTTCTGTGGTCTCTCTCCCGCTCTGCATCTGACCGGCCTCTGTGTTTCCGCCTGCACCTTGCCTGTGCTCTCCCCACTCTGACCCCCACCTCCTCTCCCTTTGGGGGCGGGGGAGCGTGGGAGTCGTGCTCTCAAACGTCCCCTGCTCCTCGGTTTCCAATTTCCTCCCTCTTCGCCTTCTCTCCCGGCGCGGGCGTCTGCCTGGCCCCGTGCACACCCCAGCCTTCTGGGCCTTCCTCTGGTTCGTGGGCTTCTGCTACCTGGCCAACCAGTGGCAGGTCTCCAAGCCCCAGGACAACCTGCTGAACGAAGGGACAGACGCGGCTCGTGCTGCCATCGCCTTCTCGTTCCTCTCCATCTTCACGTGGGTGAGTACACCGCCCACCCGGCCCACACTCGCCGGCCCCAGCCAGGCTCCTGGGCTGGTGGCCTTTGAGCATAGCCAGGGCCTCTGTTCTGCTTCCCTTCTCAATGCTCATGGCAGGGCTGCTCCCTGAGGAAGGAGACTGTCCAGCAAAGACAGTCAGGTGGTGGTGGCAGACCCTGGCTTTGGTGCAGAGCACCATTCCTGTGGTAATGGACTCCCCTCCCAACCACTCCAATAGTTGGGTGGTAGGTATTTACTGTCTCCTTTTACAGATGACAAAGCTGAGGCCTAGATGGGAAGATAAGGCCTTGAGGTTCAAGGTGGGGAAGGAGCCCAAGCTGAGAGTCAGGAGACCTGGGTCGAATCGTGGGGCTGCCTCTAATTTTCTGGGCCTCTGTCTTCCCATCTGTAAAGTGGGGAGATTGGATTTGCTGTGGGGTGTGTCACAGACGCAGATGGCCACGGGGCAGGCGGGATGTGCGAAGGCGTGAGTGGATCGGGTGGCATGTGCACACCGTCCTAAAAGGGTACCCTGTTCTGAGCAGTAATGGGGACCCACAGAGGCCAGGTCTTCCTGTTTTCCCAGGGAGCCCAGAAGTCTGAATTTCTATGAGAAATCTGATCTTTATGTGTTAGCAATTTGTTCAAGTTTAAAAAAATATACTGTGTGCGTCCAAAAAAGCATGTCTCTGGGCCCCACTGGCCAGAGGTCACCCCTTTGCAGGCTCTAGACCGAGTGGTGTTGAGCACCCATCAGCGTGACAGCAAGGCTGGTCCTTCTTTTCCACTGGTTCCAGGTCCTCTCGATTTATTTTTTCTTCTCTCGTCTCCCTCCTGCAGATATCTGGGGTTATATAGGCTCCGTTGCCACATCCCAAGGGTTCTTGCCTCCCCTCTGACAGTGCCCCCTTCCCTCCAGACCTTCCAGCTGTCCTGACCGCTCCTGTGAAGCCTTGTTGCAGCCAGCCTTCCCTGTCCCCTCTGCCCTCCTGGGCCTGTCCTAGACTTCTTCCTTTTTTGTGGGCTCCTGGCTATCCCTTTTCTCTTGGGGGCGGGGCTTGCAGAGGAGGACTGGGTGATTGGACACCAGGACTTCCAGGGGTGGGTCTGAAAGCCTGACTGACAGGTGCCCACCAGCCCACTGCAGCCAGCCTCCCTGCTGGCACCTCTGCTTCTCCCTGTTCTTCCCCGCTGGCCTCACCCCTGCTCTCTCCTGGCAGAGCCTGACCGCAGCCTTGGCCGTGCGGAGATTCAAGGACCTTACCTTCCAGGAGGAATACAGCACGCTGTTTCCCACCTCAGCACAGCCGTAGGCCCGCCTGGCTTCCGGAGGCAGGGAGCCCTAATCATGCCCAGTGGCAAGGTTGGGGGGCAGCCCACTTCCTGGACCGGCCAGGATGCCAGGGCGTGCAGGGCGGTGGAAAGCTGGCTAGAGGGGCCAGTTAAGACTCACCATTCGCTCATTGCCTCCTTTGTTTATCCTTCATGTGTCCGTTCATTCAGTAAACATTTATTGGGCAACTGTTCTGTGCCTAGTGATGAATCAGATGTGGTCCCTGGCCCCAGGAGCCCACAGCCTGGGGAGGCGAAGACAGACAAACCGAAACCTCCCCCAAACGTACTGCACAGGTTGTAGAAGGGCTGGAGGTGGCTCCACACATGGGCTGTCAGGGTGCCGAGCTGTGGGCTGAGACGTCCCATGGCTGCAACATGAAGGCCGATTTTCCAGTCCCCATGGAGGCTGGCTGCCAAGGAGGGTCTGGCCCAGGACATCAGAGGACTCATGGTCTGGCTCTGCTCTCGTGTGCTTTGTGACCCTGGGCAGACCTCTCTGAGCCTCAGTCTACTTCCCTGGACTGAAGAGTGATAATGGACCAGCCTCTCAGGGCTGTTGCACAGATGAAACAAGGCTTGGCACAGGGCTTGGCACAGAGATGCTCAATAAATGTAGGTTCTTTTGTTCGTTCATTCATTCATTCATTCATTCATTCTGTCCAAGGAGTCAAGGACACCTTCATAATCTCTACTTTGGGAGTGATTCCCGTGTGGTGAATCCCTGTTCTTCCAAAGGACCTTGGCCCCCATTTCTACACAGGTTCCCTCTGCTGCCCTGGAGTACAAACTGGCCCCCAGGGCAAAGCACTGCACGGTGGAAATGCCACAGAGAGTGCACCCGCTCTGAAGAAGCAGGGCCAGGTGTACCACCAGGTCCCTGGGCTCTGAACAGAACGCCCAGCCTCACCTCTACACCCCAGTCCAGCAGGGGCCCACACCCCTCCATGGCTCCTGTCTGTGGCTCTTTGAACTGGCTGGCTAAGGGAGGCCTTGACTCAGTGGGGATGGAGGAGTGACCACAGATATAGCACTAGGTGCCTGTAGCTAGAGGCCCCTTCCTGGAAGGGTCTGCAGAGGTCATCTCCTCCAGCCCTCTGCCTCCGTGCAGACACCAGTGGAGCCAGGGAGCTGTGGGAGGACCAGGTCTGCAGAAGTTCCTCTCAGGGACTCATTCATTCATTCATTCACTCATTCCCCGTGTGCTCTTGTGGGCTCACTGATGGCTCAAGGGTGCTGACAACGTTGCTGGTGCCCCATGGGGGACTTTCCACCTCCCTGCTTCTCCAGGCTCCTGCATCCGAGCGCCCGTGCAGCCAGGACCTCGTACCAACATAGCGGAAAATACAGGAGGGCCACTCCTAACTTCCTCAGCCCACCTCCTTGAGGCCTGGTCTGCCTTTCCCAGGCCCCTGGCCCTTTGCCCCCTGCCTCTCACCCACTGACCCTTTTGGGTTCCTGGTTGACTTAGTGCCTTGTCAGCAGGCTGATCAAAAGGAAGGAGATGGGGAGGGCCGTGGCCTGGGAAGGGGCAGGACCCCTGTGTTCAGGTCTGGGTTCTGGCACTGACTGCCATGAGGCCACCCTTTTCTAGGCCTCAGTCTTCCCAGCCCCCAAACAAGGGTATGTAGAACATTAGCATTTTCCCATCACAGGCAGGTTACCTGGATTGGGAAGGTCTCTGGAGAAGACTTTCAGTGCAAACCTATAAACATTGTCGTTTAATGACAGATTTAATTTATTCCCTAGCTTGGTGTGATCAGTGTCATTGTCCTTAATAACAATGTAACTGCTTTTACTGGAAAAGGACTTCCCGCCTATGCATTTATGCGGTAGACAAGTCTTTCCCAACTGGGTCCTATGAAAAAAGGGCTTCAGTGGTTGGATAAGGTTGGCAAATGTTGCTTGCCATAGTTTTCCCCTTTGGGATCCCAGCATACATTAGTCATTAGTCAAAGCTCTGACAAGTCCTATAGTCTTCTATTTAACTCAGTTTCCCAAACTTGTTTGGTGAAGCATTTCAGTTAGAATTAGGTTCAGCGACAAATGACAGAAATCACTAATGACAGTGGTTTAAACAAAGTCTAAGTCTGGGAAGACAGTCCAGGGCTGGCATAGTGGCTCCAGAAGTCTTTAGTGACCCAGGCTTCGTCCATCCCTACAATTTGGTTCATGGACCTCATGGTCCATTATGACAACTAGAGCACCTGCTATCACACCTGCATTCCAGGCATCAGGTCAAAGGGTGGGACAGAGAACTTGCGGGTGACCCATTGGCTAGAACTTAGTCATATGGCTATGCCTAACTGCAAGAGAGACAGAATAGCTTTTAGGAGATGCCGACATTTCTCTGTCCCACCAAAAACTTTTTTTCTCCATTCCATCTAACTCCCTAAGAACACATTTTGAGAAGGATGCTGTGGGCCTTGGGGGCATTTTAACACTCCAAAATGAAGACTCTAGAATTTTTGTTGACCCAGAGTGACCTCTGGGATTAGGGGCCATAGGGCAGGTGATTTCCGAAGTTCTTCGTGGCCAGAGAGTGCGGTTCTGGGCTGGCTTCGAGGACAGCCTTCCTTCCTCCCCAGTCAAGCTTGATTTCATCTTCTGTGTTTTGAGGATATTTAACCCTCTATTGCCCGTGTCCTGTGGACTAACCTCTACTAACCCAGTGCTCTTGTCTGTCTCTCCCCTAACCATCCCCTCCCGCCCGTCCTTGTCCCCGCCGACCCCCGTCCCCAGGCGGGCCAGGCTGTGCTGGCCTTCCAGAGGTACCAGATTGGCGCAGACTCGGCCCTCTTCTCCCAGGACTACATGGACCCCAGCCAGGACTCCAGCATGCCTTACGCCCCCTACGTGGAGCCCAGCACCGGGCCAGACCCCGCCGGCATGGGTGGCACCTACCAGCAGCCAGCCAGCACCTTTGAGCCCGAGCCCCAGGGCTACCAGTCGCAGGGCTACTGAGCCACAGTGACCGCCTGCCCCCTGCCTGCCTGTGACCTGCCCCAGCTGCCCCCTGTTCCCTCCCTTCACACCCGGCCCCCTTCTCCCTCCCAGGCTGCCCTACCCGCTCCCTCCAGGTGGTTCCGCTGAGGTCCAGGGCAGCTCGGGTGGGATGGGGCAGTGAGGTGTTGGGGGGGTATCCACATGTGTGTGCAGGTGTGTCCAGCAGGGCCCTGGGGTGTTTGCATTCATTCCTTGTGTCTTCGAGCGTTCGTTGAGCACCTACTGTATATCAGGCCTGTGCTTGGCATGAGTGCTGAAAGACAAATGGTCCCTGGAAATGGGGAAGAGGAGATGTGGAGGAGGCCCTACTGGTACCAGAAGTAGGAATGGAGAGAAAACTAGACCGGAAGGATGCTGGGAAGGTTTGGCTGCAGGGTATGAGCACCCACAGGACACTGGGGCTGTCACCTGCTAGGAGTGATACAACCACCCTGCTAGGAGTGTTGGCCTGTCTCCATTTTATGGCTAAGGAAACTGAGGCCTGGAGAGGTCAAGGTCACTCGCCCAGGGTCACTCAGGCAGCCAGTGATAGAGATGGGGCCAAGCCCAAGCCCCCTGACTGCAGAGCACCTGCTGTCCCCTGGCCTTCCCACCATCCCCCCTCCCCGAGCTGGGGGCTCCACTGCTCAGTGCTACCGTCACTGTGGGAGGCCTTGGGGACCTCAGCCCATGAGACACCCTGATTCTGCTGCAAGCCAGGGGCCTGCTCTTCCCCGACTGTTCCCCCAAGTGGGACAGCCCTGCCTCCAGGCCCCTCTTCCCACATCCCGCCAGCCCCTCCCCTGGCCACCTCCCAGGGCGGGAGAGCCAAGAGGGCGGGCCCGGCTCCCGTGTGCTGCTCCGTGCTGCGCGTATCCCGCCAGGAGCTCCAGCACGCCTTTGTGGCCTCCTGGCGACTGACTACTGTCCCTGCCTCTCGGAGGGGCTCGCTATGTCCCTGCCCGGGGCCGAGTGGATAAGGAGGCCTGGATGGGGAGCACGTCGCCCAAGGTTCCAGTGAGTGAGTGGCAGGGCTGGGCTTGCTACCTGGTCTCCTTGGTCCCAGCTACCCAGCAGGTGCCCCATTCCCTGCCCTTGTGACCTCCCAGGAAACAGAACTGATCTGGGACACTGTGTCATCTTCCCTCATTTGGGGTCAGCCAGGGGCCCAGGGGCTGGGACAGCCAAGCCAAAGCCTTCCAGACGGCCTGCCAAATGGCCGGTCTCCCTATGGGAAGACAGGGGCTCTAGACCCAGCAAGGCCAGCCTGCAATTGCTGCCATGGGACAAACTGTCCTCAAGATGAACGGTGAGAGCCGCTGGGGCGTGGAAGGCTCCGGGAGGCCACAGGCTGTAGGGGAGAGGGTGGCAGGTGTCCTCAAAGGCACAGGGAGGGTTGTGGGGGACAGGGAGGGACTCTTATACAACGTGGGCTCTCCACTGAGCCTTAAGGGTTGGGGAGGCCTTGAAGAGGGGAGAGGTGTGGGGAGACCTGGGGCCCAGCGTCCACCAGCCAGTGCCTTGGGAAGCAGGGCACTGGGATTGCAGGTCAGCACGGTGCTGGGTGTTCCCACCACCAGCCCCCACGAGAACCCTAAGGGGCAGGTAATATTTGTTCACTTGCCTGTTGATTCAGCAGTTATGGGGCACCTGTGCTGGGAATACAGAGGGTGGGGTCCCTGCCCTCAAGGAGCTGACAGTCGTCAGAGGTGAGCGTTAAACCGACAGCTGTATCCAGGGTCCATTACAGGGGTGAGGCGCTACGCGAGTGCGTGACGGGCTGCGGCTCCCCAGGGAGGGGCCCTGAGGATGGGCAGCAGTTAGCTTGGCAATGAGGGAAGGAGAGGAAATTTCCTAGGCAGAGAAGCAGCATCGTTGTCCCCACTTCAGGGGAAACTGAGGCTCAGTACGTGAATTAGCAGTGGAGCTTGGATCAGGTCTGGTCAAGTCCTCCCAAGGGGCAGCGGTGACGGGAGAGGACCCCAGACAGCCAAGTGACAGCTGCTTCTTGCTGACTTCAATTTTCCACATCTGGGGAAGGGGCTCTATCTATGGTTCTCTCCCCCTGGGTGGCCCAAGTGGGGACAGGATGGGGCTCTGCTATCTGCCAGGTTGAGCAGTGGAACTGGTACCAGACCAGCGGTTTGCGAAAAAGGTAAGGGTGGGAGTGGGTGTGTTTCTGACAGAGAGAAGTTCTGTGCCCA